GAGTTAGGCTTGGTCAATCAAGGGACTCTGTTTAAAGAGGTTGGTGCTCATCTTGGTACAGGGACTTACAATTCTGCTTGGCAGGTTTTGCTGCAAGATGCGTCATGGGCTGGACTCCATAAACACTATCACAATGCCATCCACTCCACTGATCCTCTCCCTACAACTCCCTTTGTCCCCATACCTCTTGATCAACTTCAGTACTACCTTGGAGGACAGTCCAAGGTCCCTGAGGGACATCCATTCTATGAGCACACCTGCTTCCAGTGTTGTTACTTGGGACATTGGTCCTGCCACAATGGCCATGGCTCACATTTCACCCCATCCCTTGAGGAACTGCTGTCTCCATCACCACCTGTGCCCATTGCTTCTTGCACCTGATCCCACATCTATACCACTCGCTGACCCCTATCCTCGCTTCCCACCAATGCCCATGCCTCATCCTCAAGGGTCTGAGGACCTTAGAAGGGGGATGATGTTACGACCTCATCAGGGATCTTTCCTTTTTTGCCAAGTCTCAGTCACATGTGTCACATGCCTCATCATGTTGTTTGTCCTCACTGTGGTTGTCCTCAGTCTGTTGGCACCCAGAGCCTTTGGATCACCAGTGGTGGAGGTATTTCCAATACCTGCTGATGCTGCATGTGCCATGTCATACTGACTCATAACACTGCCTGATGATGGACATGTATTTCATTTATGCCTCCTTGTCTGTTCTGACTTGTTTGTGTTGTTCATATGTTTACTTCTTAGCTCCAGTGTCAGGCTCCTTGCTGTGCATTGATTGCACAGCTGGTATAGCCTTTGTTTCCTTGACTGCCCCCATCATATGACACCATATGACTCTTTTCTGTTTCATTGTTTACTGCTGTGGATACTTACCACCTTGATGGCATGACTGCTATGGTATGCAGATACTTACATATAAATAGAGCCACACCATACAGTGTATCCTCAGTTTTTTGATAGCTTGCAACTCAGCTTATTTCTTTGACTTGTATCCTTGTTCCTCCATGTCCCTTGACTCTGTTGCAGTCACCAGAAGGAACCTCTGCCAGAATACTTGTCAATAACACTGAGCCATAGGGGTTATGATAAGTTCAGCCTGTAGACTCCCCCTTGTGCTCATCATGACTAGTCCATTTGATGAAGTCACTTGGCTCAGGCATAACAGAGAGAGTAGATACTATGCCAAGAGTAGCAGAAGTAATAAGCAAAAGGCTGATCATCTGAGCCCATGTGACATAGGTAGTTGCACCAATCACAAAACATCCAGGTGCCACTTCAAGAATAAACCTAAATGCTGACACTGCCACCAGTTTGGCCACATCACTCAGGAGTGTTGCACCAACCCAGATAACAAAGATAAATGATGGAGACAGAGGTCAAGAGACTGAGATAGAGATTGGGATAGGAAGTGATCTAGTAAACACTCTGGACAATCAGATAAGGTGCATCATGCAGTGGAGAATATGGACTCCAAAGATGATGTACCATTCTCTTCTACTGAAAGTGTAGATACAAAGTCACCCAAATCAGAGGCTTATTCTGTGTATGTGTGGTTGGCTGACAGTGCTACAACATTGCACATTTGCATGCAAAGAGAGGCATTCACTGCATATGAAACACTACTGGACAAAACAGTCTGTAGGATAGGTGCCAAGCCTGCTGTCATACTTGGACATGGAACAGTCACCATTAATTTATGTGATGTACTACACATGCCATCATCACCTAACAATCTATTTTCAATTGGCCATTTAGATGCACAAGGTGGCTGCTCCATCAGTGGAGGATGCCAAATAGAGTTGTGCAATTCCTCAGGTGATATCATTGCATTGGGAGAGTGGAAAAATCGTCTATATGAATTACAATTTACTATGGCTATGACATTAGAACAAGCCAGCTTTGCAAACAAGAAATGCTTGTGGAAGACTTGGCATAAGCACTTCAGCCATATCAGGTTAAGCAGACTGCACTGCTTGTTCCAAAAGAAGCTCAAAAGAGGGTTCAAGGTAGATCTGAACTCACCCAATTTCAATTGTGAGGCATGCACTGCTGCCAAGTGGACACACAAGCCACATCCACCCAAGGCTACTCATCATGCCTTGATGCCTGGAGAGTTAATTCACACTGATGTGTGGGGTCCATTGCAAATGGCATCCATACAACATCAGCAACTTGACAAAATTTCTGAAGGCCTGATTGCCTTCTGACATGCTGATGATCAGAGAGACTGAAGTTCTGAAATTCTGATTTTGCTTCTAATATTCTTATGACTTGAGAAAATCTGATGTCAGAAATTCCCAGAAATTCTCAGATTTTTTCAGATTGTCAGACCAAAATTTAGAATGTCAGAAATAAAATCAGAACTTTCAAATTTCAGATATCAGGTTTTTCAGATCACCAGAATGTCAGAAGTGAAATCAGAGCTTTAGAAATGAAATCAGAACTTCAGAAATTTTGTCAAGTTGCTGATGAGGGATATTAATATTATGTATTGATTATTGATGATGTCACATGGTATGCTATGACATACTACATGAAACAGAAGGGAGAGGCTACTGAACATGCCAAAGAATATGTGTTAATGCTAGAATGACAGAGGAACATCCTGCCTAAGAAAATCAGATGTGATAATGGCACTGAATATGTCAATAACTCACTGACTTCTTGGTGCAAAGAAAAGGGGACCTTACTGGAACCCACAGTACCATATTCACCACTGCAGAATGGCATTGCCAAACAATTTGATTGCACCATCATGGAACTAGGGCAGGTGATTCTCCTCAAAAAGAATCTACCAAATTTTCTATGGTGTGAGGCAATCAGTCATGCTGTGTATCTACAATTGCACATGGACATGCACCTGCAATCTGACACTGTATGAAGGGTGGTATGGGGAAGAACCTGATATATCCCACTTTGAAGAATTTGGTTCATGTGTGTGGATCTTCAATGAACACCAATTGATCTCCAAGCTTGATGTGAAATTGCATGCCTTCTCATTCATTGGCTTCCTTGATGGGCTGCATACTGTTTGTTACTATGACATGCATGTGAGGCAAATACACACCTCATGGAACTGTAAGCTCCATTGCAGTGATGACAAGAAACTACCCCCAGCCTTGCCACTTGCAGGGGGAGGGGAAAGAGGTGAGAAGCAAGAAGAGATCAGCAATAGGATGAAGTCAAAATGGAAACAGACTGAATCACATGATGAGCCCATGAGGCAAAGCAATTGAGTGCAGATGTCACACTAACTACAATGTATTGAACAATCCATTACCTGATTTAGAAGTATTACTAGCTGATGACCAAACATCAGAGAACTGTGAACTCTCATCAGTGGAAAAAGTTTACTTGGCATTCAATGAGAGCACCCTGGGAGAGAATCATCCCAAGATGCTGCAAGGGGCTAAAGCTTTGCCTGAATGGCCAGAATGGCAAAAAGACATAGGAGGCAGAGCTACAGCAGCTGTGTGTTAAAGGAATGTGGAAACTAGTAGACCCACCAGAAGGGTATAAGCCCTTGTCAAATAAATGGGTATTTATACAAAAGTATGACAGGGATGTGGTACTCCAAAAATACAAAGTGAGATTGGTTGCTAGGGGCTATTCACAGGTCCTGGGAATGGATTACAAAGACACCTATTCCCTGGTTGTTAGATCCCCTATGCTCCTGTCACCCCACAGATCCCAAAGCTTGAGCCCCTTTGACACCTGACACCTGCTGTACCTTTATGGATGTCCTATATCAGTATCAGATCAGTGCTGCCTCTCTGTCATCCCACCTTGGCCCAGAAGCACTTCCTTTGAGATGTGGCATACACAGCCTCCCCCTAATGCAATTCCAGTGTGCTTACTCAGTTTCTGACAATGCTTGACTCATACTTTGATATTCTGACCATCTTTGACTCACCTATTGCCAATACTTTCCAATCTTTTGACTTTGCTTACTGATTTTTCACTTTTTGGCTTATTGATCCTTACCAATTCTTACCAATGCTTTCTAAGTTGGTTACCCACCTACTTATGTTCCCTACTTATCAGTTACCAATCATTTACCAAGTGTTTGCACCTTGTTTTCCATAGGCAATGCCCCCATACTGTATATAAACCAGTGCTTAGATAGTTGAAAGAAGAAAAACAACATCAGAGAGGCCCTCTTGCTTGCATATCTTTGTCCCTCAGTGAATTCATTCATCATCTTCAGTAGTTGAGGCTCCATCAAGGGCCTAACTACCATTTTTTACTTCATTTGTTGCTGCTTATCATCAATATACTTTGCTCCAGGTCCTCCCTAAGCCCAGAACAGCTCAGACTATCAAATTAAGTCTCCATCCATCTGTCTGTAGGCTGACAGTAGTTTGCCCCATTGCTTCCTCTCACATTCCTGCTCCCCCTTTGTCAGGAGTATCCCCAACCCTCTGTACTCATCCCTGAGTGTAGTACCTTACAAAAACCTGCCTGAATAAGACCTTCTGTCATCTAGGCACCATGGAGGCACACTACCACTTGCTTCTACTGTCTTGTGTTGGTTTTGGTTGGTTTACACCACTGAATCACACTTTGACTCACAGTTTAGTGGTGACAGTCCAGGTGGTTTATTCATGCCAATATACCCTTCATGGCTGCAGATGACAAGTTCTTCCATTATTTCTTGTATGCTATGTATATGCTCCTCATACAAGTCACCATCCTGATATGTACTGTCCCACAATCTTCTTGATAGTGAAGCTGTTCAAGTACAGGAAGAAGACCCACTCAGACTAAAGCCTCAAAAGAAGCTTACACTACTCTTGGATGGGTGGAAGGATCAGCTGAAGTGGAGTTTCTATGGCTCAGTTGCAGTGGAAGTCAATCACCAACCAATTGTTCTCATACTGGAGGACATGACAGGTTGCCAAGGAACAGCTGACAATCTCATTGTGGTCTCACAGAAGGCCATAGAGAAGTTGGAGATCAATGATGGGAAGAACCTCATTGCTGTCACAACTGATAACCTGACAGTAATGCAAGCATTCCACCAGAAATTCCAGGAAATATATCTGTGGGTTCTTGTGAGTGCCTGCATAAGTCTCAGATTACATCCTCTGATGAACTATGTAGACTTTTGCATGCTTCTTGCACAGTCTCAACACACTGATTGGTGATATTGTTGCCTGTCCTCTGATGAAGAAAGTGATGATGAAGACCACTCATGTTGTGACATTCTTCAACTCATCTCACTATTGGGGTGGGCAGCTCAATGACAAAGCCAAGAGGTTAGGTATCAGGCAGAGATTGAAGCAAAACTGTGAATCACATTTTTATGCACTGATCTTGCACTTCTTGAGTGCATCTGCTCTTTCCAGTCCAAACTCTTTGACCCCATGTCACATTAGAAAACCCAGAATTACCTTGGCTTCGTACCTTAGTGGACTCCAGTTCCACTCATTGTTTTATAGATATTCAATTTGCTAATCAACACTCTTTTACCCCATACTCAGTCTCACCAATCCAACTCTGGCTCTTCAATGGAATGTCCCCTTTTACTATAACCCAAGCAGCAGATGTCAATATCCACTTTGTGTCCAGCGATGTCACTCCAGTAACCCTGTATCTAGCCCTGTTGGATTCTGAGTGTAAGATAGTCCTTGAACATGACTGGCTCACCTGCTACAATCTGTTGATTGATTGGGTATTGGGCAGTCTAACTTTCCAGATTCCTGCACAAGGGATGCCAACCCTGTTGACACCCCCTGTAAGCCCAGCTCCCACCAGCCTTCCTGACTCTGGTCCTAGTGACTAACCTGGCCTTGCACCATCTGTACCAGTCTCCGACTTTCTGGCTTGCACCCCCCTTCAGGCCCCTCTCATTTCCCTAATCAATGCAGCTGCCTTTGCACATCCTGCAAACTAGAAGGGTCTGTCCAGTTCCAACTTCAGCTCTGCCCCTTGAACTCAGCTCAAGCCTGATCTGCCTCAACTTCCTCTCCTCCAGCCTTACCCAATGTCCCAGAAGAGTACCACAACTTCACTGATGTATTCAGCAAGGCCAAGGACTTGGCACTTCCCACCACACCAGGAGTATGACCTGAAGATAGAGCTTGAAGAAGGAACAACCTTGCCCCTTGGCACCATCTACTTGCTGTCCCCAGTCAAGCTGCAAGCTCTCTGGACTTTCATTGATGAGAACCTCACTACTGGTTTCATTCAGCCTACTTCCTCCCCTTATGCTGCACCAGTCCTCTTTGTCAAAAAAAAGGATGGTGTGAGTTGAAGTGTGGAAAGCTGGTATAAACCAAACAAATCCAACACCAAAGACAAATATGAGTGAGTGGTGGTTTACCTCTGTGGAACCTGGAGGGCAGAGAAACCTAAAGTGGGGGAATTTCAATGGAAGGTGCTCCTAGTGCAAGTCATCAACTAGTTATGCAGGAGTAGATGAATGGATGATGACTGGAAGGAAGATGCTGAACAGAATGAAGGTGTTCAGCCAAAAGTGCTCTGGCATGATGATCTTTAGGATGTGCTCCTGGCACAAGTCAATGACAAGTTATGCAGGAGTAGATGGATGACTAAGCAGGTGTGCTGACAAAGCACAGATGATACTTCAGATAATGAATGAAGGTAGATAGACCCCTTCATAGAGCCTCAACTACCAATGATATGAATGAAGACAGATAGACTCTTCCAAATGAGCCTCAACTGCCAACAACAAGGTATGCTGAGCTGACTTCTGAGTGAATGGCTTCTGATTCACTTGTGGATTGCTTGTGGGTGTAGCTAAGTACATGGGGGTTTATATACTGTGGGGGGAGCACAGCTTGTGACAAACAAGGCACAAATGCTTGGTAAGTAATGAGTAAGGACTGAGTAAGCATGATGAGTAAGCAAGAAATGAAAAGTAAGCAAGCAAAGAGGATTGGTAAGTATTGGCAATAAACAAGTCAAGGATAGTCAAAATATCACAGAATGAGTCAAATAGAATCAGAAACTGAGTAAGCACACTGATATCACATTAGGGGGTGGCAATGCAAGTCAGATCTTGGTGGAGACATCTCTAGATCCAAAGATGGCATGACAGATGGACAGTGTTTCCAGATAAGGAAGCATTAATTCCATAATTGAAGGGCATGAGTCAGGCATCAAAGGGGCTAGGGCATTAGGGGTCTGTGGGGCAATGGGAGCATATGCAATCATGTCTCCCACCCTTTCATCCTCTCAGCAAAGTTAACAAACACTTCTTGAATGGGGCTCTGATGGAGGAGGAGGAGAAGGAGGGATGTCTTCTGCTGAATCTTGCAGTAAGAAGGCAAGATGCACATCATACTCATCATGGATGCAATCAGGGAGGCTGGAGAACAGTAGACTATGCTGCAGCTGTCATGATGTGGGAAGAATGATGGACAAGATTGGAATAAAGACAGTGCAGGGAGCAGGGAAGAATGATCCATATGCTTCATCAAGAGGGGAGACCAAAACAACCACATAAGACCTTTCTAACTGAGTGACAGACCTGAGGCAACTGAAGAATGTCCTTCTGGAAGTCATACTGACAAGGAGAACATGCTGGCCAAGCTGCATGGGATGAGATGGGGCTGACAATGATGGGATGAACCAGGGGACTTCAGGATGGAAGCTGGTGGGAACACCTGGCAGATATACATAGCCACTGTGTCTGGCAAATGAGACAAGCAAGATGATTGACGAAGAGGTGGCCATGATTGATGGACTTAGGTGAAATCAGTGTCTGACTTGATGGAGTGCTGTAGAAATGCATAGGGTGTGAGGATCCTCTCCACATTTGGAAGGAAGAATCAGTGGGGCTGAGCACTTTAAGTGAGTGTGAGAACAGAGTCAATATCTTTGGAAACAGTGGAGATACGATGAAAACCAGAATGCTGTACATGGGCACTAAAAACTTTTAATGTGTGCTTAACTTGCTTCCTCTTTTCTCTTTAGCACTGACAACTCATTCTTGTGCAAAGGATGACTGTTCACATCCAGCAGTCTTTCTATGCATGAGGCCTTTAGTCTTCATCTGCATGCATGGGCATTGCACACAACTCATCAATGAGTTAGGCAGAGTCAGCTGTAACCATGTCCACAACACCTTTGGTGTGTGACAGCAAGGAAGAGGAAGCCAAGGGGGAAGATGAAAACATGGCTGAAGCCAAGTAGTCATCATAGCATAATGGTCTAGTTTTCCCTTCTGCCAATGCCAGGGGTCCAGTCTTGGTCTTGTATAGTAAAGTGAGAAGAACAAGGAAAAGGAAAACAGGGTAAGTAAGAGGTCAAAGGAAACTAGATACTGGTAGAGAAACAGAAAAGAAGTCAAGGTCAGTTGATACTGGTCTTCATTTGTATGGGCTGGGTTCACCAGGGTAGTGAGAGTGGAACTCTTGCACCAGGTCCAAAGCATTGTCCAGCTCAGTGGCAAGTGCCCAAGTGGTCTCTTCTTCAGTCCCTTCATAGCTGGTCCAATGGATTAAGTATTGAAGCCAACACCAGCAATGCTGGTCAACCTTGGAGTCAAGGATTTCAGCCACCTCAAACTCTAGTTCACCATTGACTTCAACTGGTGGGGGTGGTGGCTGAGTCCAGTTCAGGATGGTGTTAGGGACAGCCAGCTCGAGTTGAGATACATGGAAGACTGGATGGACTGTGCACATTGAGTCTGGCAGGTGCAGAGTGAATGAGTGGGTACTGGCCTGAGCTATGACCAGGTATGGCCCAAGGTTCTTCTCCAAGAGTTTCTTGGAAGGCTGAGTTGACTGGAAGTATTTGGCCTTGACATATACTCGGTCACCAACCTTGAAGTCTGGAGCTGGCATGTGTTTGGCATCAGCCAGGCCTTGGTACCATGGTTGGGCAAGGGTCATCTCCTCACATAGGTATTGGTGCAGTGAGTCTAGGTCTACTGCATAATCACAAGCCTGAGCAGAGGTAAGATTGCACTCTGGGTATACCAAGATGTTGGGGTGGTAGCCCTTTTTAGTGAAGAAGGGTGAAAAACCAGTAGTAGTGCTAGGGGCATTGTTGTAAGCAAACTTGGCCAGAGGCAGTAGGTCAGCCCAGTTGTCCTGTTGGTAGTTACAGTAGACTCAGAGGTACTGTTCCAGTGTCTGGTTAGTCCCCTCAATCTGGCCATCACCCTCAGGGTGGTAGCCCAAGGTGAAGTGTAAGCACATATCTAAGGCCTTACTGAGTGACCAGAAGAAGTGAGACATGAACTCTGAGCCTCAGTCTGAGGTTACACTGGGCCAGTACTCTGCTTGAAAGACATGGAGTAGGAAGAGTTTGGCAAGTTCATGGGCCATGATGGTGTCATGAGTAGGGATGAAGATGGCCTGCTTGGAGAGCCAGTCAACTACTACAAGGATGGCTGTGAAGCCAGATGAGACTGGAAGCTGCTTGATGAAATCCATTGATATGGAATTCCATGGCTTTTCCAGCACTGGAAGTTGTTTGAGAAGGCCATAAGGCTGGTGGCAGGGGACCTTAGCCCAAGCACAGGCTGTGCAGGACTGGACATAGTCCTTGATGAAAGTCCTGAGGCCAGGCCAGGTGTACTCACACCAGATGAGTTCTAAAGTGTGGTTTTGGCCAAAGTGGCTGGACAGGGGGTGGTCATGCTTGAGGCACAAGACCCTAAGGTGAAGATTGTTTGAGTCCAGCACATAGATCCTTCCATCAAGCCAAAGGAAACTGGTGTCATCTACTGACCACTGGGGATCAGACATGTCAGACAAGTGGACCTGTGAGACCAGGTCATCCAGCAGTATGGTCAGGATGTCATTATGGAGTTTCTCTATATCCATTAGTGCAACTGCTCATAAGACCAGGTACTTGAGGTAGGTTGCATGAAGGGAGACCACTAGTTGCTCCTGGGTGAAGACCAGTCTCAGGTTTTGTGGGTTCACTCAGGCATAGCCACTATCCCCCTCTTTAGGGTAGATGTCCCATCATCTAGTTAGGGTGTCAGGCTTAGCCCCACAGCTTACTGGGCCTGAATCAAATGATCATATTGAACTGGGACAGGAATCCTGACCAGTGAGCTTGGCAGTGAGTGAGTACCTTAGAGGTAGAGAAGTACTCTAGGTGCTTGTGGTCAGTGACAACATTGACCAGTGAGGCTGAGCCCCCAAGGTAGTGGCACCAGGTCCAGAATGCTTTGAAAATAGCAAGCAATTCCTTGTTGTGAGTATCATAATTCAATTCTGGGGCAGTCAGAGTCTGGGAGCTAGAAGGCAACTGGATGTATCTGGCCATTGCCACAGGTGACAGATAGAATGCTGGTGATGGCATAGTCAGATAAATCAGTCTCCACAATAATGGGGACCCCTGTTAAG